TTGTCTTTTTTTGTCTGTCTTATCCAGGCATGTGCAGTGCCAAAGAGTACTAATATGCTCAGAGCTATTTCGTTCTGGAATTAAGTATGGTTTGTGCAATTTGCTCAGCAAATACGTAAAATCTTAGAAGATACTATTTTTATCATTATTATTATTCATCTATTTAGAAATTTCATTTTGTTGCATCAGGAAATTGAAGCCCTTCCAAAAGTTTACGCAAAACAAAGTAGACTCTAGAATAATATCAATATTTAAGAACAGGTCACAACGTATAAAACAGAGTAGTGAAAAGTGCTATTAAGACCTCGTGTGTCCATGAGAAAACCAGGCAGAACCAGGCAGGAGGTGATACAGCACAAATCACCGATTTCGCTCAAACTTGGCACAAATGTTGGGTTTGGTGAGTAAATGATTATAGCAAGAAATTAGGTCAAAAGATTTTATTCCTTTCATGTTATGGGGCCCTTAAAATGCAACGCAAAGCACTCTGCCATCTTTGACATAGAAGATGAAAAGACAGCTGATTTCTCCCTTTAATTCGGTAGGTATGTCATGTATGGTGACACAAATTCTACCGCTTAATATCGTCAAAGATCGCGGGATGTTTTGTGGTGGGCTTTGAAAGGAATCTGTATTTTAAAGCACTAGTGATGGCTCTTCCTGGATTATGAACGGCCTTTTGAGTAGCTTTCTCGACAACCTGACGATAGATCTCTGATGATGAAAGCGGGATGACAATGGATATTCTCTACAAAAATCGGCTCGAAGCAACCGAACAGATGGACATTTCGCTACCCAACCATCAAAGAGAACACAAAATCACGTCTTAGTGACCTGCATGTAGTAATTTCTTTCCGTATTTTACACCTAAAATCATACTAAGTTAAGGAACTTTTGCTTTGAATCTTCTTCTGTTTTTTTTTTTCAGTTTCTGATGTTGTGAGAATGTCACAAAATATAGCTCTGAAAATATTTGAAAGAAATGTCTCAAGTGCTTCTTTTCGCCGAATTTATACTGGAAATTGATGGGAAAATACTTAGCACGATATTTCTTGTTGATTTCGAGTTAGTTTAAGACAGAAAAAGGGCTTTTATAAAGCGCTATTAAATAGCGATAGAAATACCGCTATATAAATAAAGTATTATTTATTTAATTATTCATTTATTTATTTATTTATTCATTCATTCAATGGATGTTCATGAAATGGCCATAAATCGTTAAGACCTATGTAAACAGCATGCCACCACAGAAAAAAATATTAAAGTCTGAAAACACGTCATGGCTATTGTGAGAACTTTATTGATTGCTCTTACTATCCATGTTGGATGTATTTGCTGTTGCCCACTGCAGATACTTGCCATCAATTAAAGGCTATTCACAACTCCACGAAATATGCACCTTACTTAAGATGAAGCCACGGAGAGAAATCAAATTGCCTAGTTCAAATGAATATCTTTGCTTTGAGACTGAAAATTGTAGAATATGATCCAGTGAATTTCATTTTGACATGGCTTTTCTTGTTGTAGAAATACTAAACCAAAGACAGCTAATTTAATATGCGTAAATTAGTGACAAATGACTATTTTTGGGAATCTCCCTGACTTAAAGGGAATAAAATATTTTGACCTAATTTTTTGCCATAATCATTAACTCACCAAATCCAAATCTTTTTTGCCAAGTTTGAGCGAAATCAGTGATTCGAGTTGTATCACCTCCTGCCTGGTTTTCTCATGGACGCACTCTTAAGGACGTTCGCGCGAAAATGTTCTACTCGATAGATTTTCTTCAAACTTCTACTACGGACAGATAATGAATTACGGACTTTGTTTCAGAGATAAAGCGTAAGAAAACCAGTCTGATTTTGAAAACATGGCGCGAGTGAATCAGTCTTCTAGGGCTTTTAGCTCAAAATATCAAAGATGAATCAACGGAGACACACTATCCTAGTAATATTTTGTATAAGTGAATCAGTTGCATTAATAATTGCAAATGTTGCCAACGTTTTCACAAAGCTTAACCCTTTAAGAGGCATTTGAAATCGTCGCACAGATAAACGAAGAGCAAAAAAGCACGGTGTTCGATGGTGCATTTTGCAATAAATTCAAACTTCTTATCGATAGATTTTCTTCATTTTTTTGCTAAACGTAGAAAATCGGTAGAGAAAATGATCCATCAAAAGAAAAGTGGGGGTCGCCGAACGTCCAAGATCGTTAAATCCAGACAACGCCTTAGCGCGCGCTCGATGCATGACGTGGCGTGTGAATTTGCGTGCGCAGTATGCGCAGAAACAATTAGCGCCAACGTCTTTAAGACTTGAAATTTCCCCTGCTTCTCCACGCGAGTTTGCCGTACATGTATACCAATTTGATAGAGAGACAGTAAAGAGGCTATTAATCTTTTTATTTAAAATGTATGCAAGCTGACGACTGCTTTCAGACTAATTCTGCAAGATCACTGATCTTTTACAGGACCGTCATGCGGATGGTCACATGACACCCCAGATAGATTTTCAGCAGAACTATGAGCTAATATCTCTGCTGGAGAGTGGTGGCAAAACTACAATGAAGTTTAAACGAAAGTTTGAAACTTGCGATCCCGAGGACAACGCAGTTCAGGTAAATATTTGCCCGTGTACCAGTTCATTGAAGCTAAATAAACTGCAAAGCCGTGAACGAAGATCCTGCTTGATTGAACGTTGGATCTCACAGGAGACGTAACCAGCTAAACCTGAAAAGTAAAACGATGATAAGTCAAAGACTAT